TTTAATGCTTTAGATGGCAGAAGACTTGTCTGATCCCTTGCCCATTGGACAAGTGGGAAGGAAAATCTACTTGTCCCCGACGACTGGATGGTACTTTTTTGAGCCCTGAGTACCATAAGCCAAGCGTACAGAAAGCCAGTACTGGCAACTCTCTGGAACTGCTATTTTCATGAGATGTGAAATTACATTTTGATCACTCCTTGAAATTAAAGGGATAGAGGTATGGTGGAGACCAGGAGTCTCTTGTTCTAAGGGCTAGACGCATGCTTCATTCAGAGGTAGGTGACTCAAAGTATACAATGTGGTACATGTATACTTCAAAATGAGGATTACTTCCATGAAGAATGTTAACATTGATAATGTACCAAGAATGCTGAAAGTCCTAGCCTATGCAGCAGGCATAAAGGGGAGAGAAAAGGAGAGAGAGTGGCTGAAGAAGAGGGCTTTTAGAACACATTTACCCCTTCCCCTTCTCCCCCAAAACCCCCAAGAAATAAAATGGAAACAGCAAAAAAAGTACGATTACCTTGTTATGACTGAAAAGTTCCTTTTTCAATGTTGACTCATAAACAACTGGGTCTTGATCCACTCTCTTCATCACTCTGTCAGAGACCAGCCTCCAACCATTATTTTCCCACCTCTGATACCAGCCTAACTTATCATCTGTGAACAGAAAACAAACAAACAAACAAACAAGAAAACAGGGTGACTTATGCCGTGCTTCCACGAGAGAGGTTTACTATGGTTACTGCTTACCGAGGTTTCATAACTAAACCGCAGTTATTAGAGAAGCTGTTTACACGGAACTAATTAATTAAAGTAGGCCGCATACAATGGACAGTTTGAGGTTTTCTTGGAAAGCAAGTGCTGCAATGTTGCTCAGATACCATTGGAAAATTGTAAATTTGACTTTACCCCAATGCTGAACGCAGGTCGTTGTCAATTTGCTTGCATTGATGTCGAGCCAAACTCTCTTTAACTGTAAAGCTTTGTAGATGAATAGTTGACAGAAAATTTTGATATCTCGCTGAGCCTAGCCCTTCCTGCAAAAAACCTGAAACAGCATCTGCCACAGAGCCCAAGCTACGTAAATGTTTACCAGTACTTCTTTTTATTTGGGGCCACTTTAAATTCTAACATTTGCTTTTCTTCTCCATAGACCTCAATTAAGATTTTTTTTTCTCTCTATTTGTGGTAGGTCTTCTTCTAGTTGCGCCTGCCTGTACACTGCTACTAAGCTACTGAGGAAATGCTTACGGCACTTGACGATGAACGGGAAACAGCAGTCCGGGATTTCTTTGCCTAAACATGAGTTTATTTAGCGTTTTGGCCTGTTGACTTGAAACCTACTTACATTAGGAGGAATCTTTGTCTATTTTTCTCTTCTTTATGAGCTGCATGCGTGAACACTTGCTGCCAAGATATTGCGACAATGTCTGCTTTTCCTCAGTTACCGTCGGTTACTGAGCTAAACCATGCCTCATGAGGTGTTCAACTGTCAACAAACCTAGGTTGGCTTACTTTTGATTTTGCCACCATTTACCTAGGTTTGCTACTGCTTTTACACGATTAAAAATTTCACTTCAGTAAAGTTAAAACAAAACCAAGGTAAACATCTCTCGTGAAAACACAGGCTTAGTTGCTCTTGATTAACGATTCTCAGTGTCTAAATTGACTTTGAAGTAACAGATTAAAGGTCTACAGCTATAGATGTACACAGCAATCTGCACACATTGCATGCCTATAGTGAAGGACTATTTTTACCACCACCAGCTGTCTGTCAGTGCACAGATTCAAAGATGTGTCACATTCAGAAGGTAATATTATGTGTCAGTTCTGGAGGACATATTCATGTGCTGAGATATGATCACTCTAAATCGTTAACCACTCACCTTCATCTGCTCTCTGTCCTTTGTTGTGTATATATTCCACAGGGAGTCGTTTTGTGGAAGCTTTTGTGTAATCTCTTGGTGCATTAGCGCACATGTCAACAATATTGTGGTGAGTGAAAATCTTGTAGTAGATATTGGGCGGAAATTTTTCCTTATTGAAATAAAATATTCAAAAGTCAAGAATATTAGGAAAATTGGAAATTTTTTCCTGAGTATTTCGTCACTGACTGATAGACATCGTTTTCAAATTCAAATTCAGTTTGTTAAAAATTTAGTTCTTTTGCCCTGAGGTGCTTGTAGAAGAAAGAAAAACAACCTATTAAGCTCAAACTTAAGTCAATTTTAACTAAAATTCCTATCAGTGTTAAATTACTTTTTGATGGTTGTGAGAACAATTCTTTCATTTGGTAGTCCCAATTACTGGCTACTAATTTTAAAATGAAAACTTAGACCTGAAACACAGGATCGAAACATTTACTACATGTTAATTACTTACTCCTGCCAGCCTAAACTTAATGTGCACACCAGCAGCTGCATCTAAAAGTTCAGCCTTGTGGAAAAATTTAAACAAAATGTAATTAGTAAATAAAAGTTGCATAGGTACCTTTAAAGTTTTTAACTTCAGGTTTTTCTAAGTCAAAAACTTCAAAACCCACATAATTTATTGTGGATTAAGAAACATGAATGCTTTTAATAATAATTGATATTCATGGCCTTATACGTACCTCTCTTGGATTAATACATTTAAGCATTAAAGAAGGGTCTCCACGACATTTAAAGTTGATGAGATCTCTGTAATATCNTGTTAAAAATTGAAGCCCCTAAAAACGAAAAACTCCGACGGCCAAACTCCAAGTTCATTTTCGGCAGTTTGATCGAGGAAAATCTATTTCTTGTGTTGGCATGTTGTAAGATGTTTATCATGTAACTATGTTCAATAGACAACCACAGCTACCACAATATTCAACCCCTTCAAGGGTAATCTCATCATTCCTTCAAGTAAGAGAATGACTACTCTTTATACCACGAGCCTTCATTGGTGCATGTATGCTCATAAAGCTTCTGCAGTGAGAAAGATTTGAGTCTCACCTTCCTGGAAGTTGAAGGCTGCGGTGTGGTGTGAGGAACCATGGGAGTGACTGTCCTTACATCACTAAGCCTTGATGGACTTTGAATGAATCTGCTGCCAAGGACTGTAGACATGACACTAGCACTTGGGTGAAGAATTCCAAACAGCTTGCACCTGCCATAAGAAGCAATATTCATTGTCATATCTAATTACAATTAATTTTGACAATTGACAATTATTTTTTGATAATTGACAATTATTATCTTAATTAATTTATTTTAAATAAAGTTGATTATTATCATCATCATCAGCATCATCATCATCATCATCATCATTATTACTTTTCCAATCAGGCTTTTCAGGATCAATTATTTTAAACAACATAGAGTTACGCTATTTTACACTCTTCATCTGTCAGCCCTGTAATCTTGTCTGAAGCCAGCACTTGCCAATCAGTGTCAGTTTGCACTGCTAGGTACGATAAAGCAGCATGAACTAGTCCTAATTGCTAAAATCTACACACTAACATGTGTTGGCTGGGGGTTTCAGCTTGTAGTACCATTCAGGGTTGGACTTGTAACTTAACCTCTTATGGGTTGTTGTCCACAGATTGTAGCTTGCAGTGCTGTTTAGAGCTAGGCTAGAAAGCTTTCAAGACCTTGCTAAAATTTGTCCAATCCAGCATAGATCCTTATGCTGGGAGAAAAGAAAGGTTTTATGGTAAGGTAATGGAAGTCCCCGTCAAACTGAGTGGTGTCAAACTGTCGTGTTTGTCTATGACAATACCGACACAAACTACTTAAGATCATTAAACAAACTTTCAGGAACACAACTTATAGCAATAAAGCAACAATATTTCACTTGACCATGCAATATCAATAATTTCGATGGCATTGAAAATGGCAGAAGCTGACTAGTGTCCCTTAACTGAGGATTTGATGTAGTCTCAACAGTAAAATCCTTATTATATTCCAACTTGCCTGGTGTAATAGCCTCTCCATACACGTTGAATTTCAATAGCTGCAGCAATCTTCACATCCTGATCACTTGTCCCTTGTTCAATTGTTTTCTGATTGACAATACAAATTATAATGTAAAGGACATTATACATAATGGTATTTACAATATCCATTTATCCAAATAAAATGATAAATTTCCTTGTTGAAGTGTGGGTAAAGATCTCTAAATCAGTCAATTTAAATAGACAATATATTTTGTTCAGACTATTGTCAAAACCTTGAATACCATAAATCCTGAAATTTGCACCTCCCCTCAAATAAGCACCCCCTTCAAATAAGTGCCCCTCCTGTCAGCCAAAGTTTGAAATAAGCAACTCCCCTCGAAAAAGCGCTTCCCTCCCCTTCCCCTGTTTTATGGAAGGGTACTGAGACAACAAGTGATGTATAGTTTTGGTCATGTTAAATCACAAGCAAGTGATTATCGGCTGATTCAAGTACTGCAAATCAACTGTTGCAATGGATGGTAGTGTAGATCTGCTGATTCACTGCCTAAAGCCCAACCAACCTTGTGCAGCAGGCCTAGACCGGCTAAAGGGGTTATATTACGTAGTCTTCAAAGAGAGACAGGATCTTTCTGAGACTTCTGTGGGATTGACACATGTATACATTTACAAAAAAACAGTCATATCTGACCAGGATTTGGGAAAAATTAAATAAGCACCCCCCTTCAATTGAGCACCTCTCTCACATTAGCGCCCCCGTCTTCTACTAAATTTGAGATAAGGGCCCCAGGTACTAATTTGGGGATAAATTTATGGTAGTCAGTTTCACAAAAACTCAGAAAAATGAGTAATCAGTTACAGTCTGGATACTTAGGAATACATGTATGGACATAAACAAACCCCAGCTTGAGTAATAGATCACAAAAAGAGTCCAGGAAATCAACACAAATTAGCAATACATGTAGTTCTGTATTAATTTTGAGGAAGAAAATCATTCAGTAAGTAACCTGGTATATTTATCTAAAATCATATTGGCTTGTGGCCCAAGGTTAAAATGTTATGCACTCACATATTCCTCCTAGATCTTAGGACAGAGAGGTAGGTAACGAAATTATACACAGGTAGCACAGGTGTCAAATCAATCACAGGAATCCAATTAATTGGACAGCTCATATTAGATAGCCATTTCATTATGCTCTGATTACAGCACTAATCAAAACTATAACAAAATTCTCGAACGTGATTGGCTATCAGCAGCCCGATTTGAGTATTAATTGGACAGTGTATGCATCATGCTTGTAATTGGACAGTAGGTGTCATTTTGCGTGTGCTGTTGTGGTGCACTTTGTTGAGTAAACTGCTGTGTTTTTCAGCATTCATAACAACGTTTAATCGTTCAGCGATCAATTGATGGTTTGTTCGTTTCTCGAATTTTGTCA